ATTATAGGAGTTATCATGAAACCTGTTGGTATTTGATAAAAAGGCAACAAATGCAGCAACTGCCTATATTCATGGCTGTGACCAGCCAGCAGCTGGTGTGGCCAGTGTTGGTGAGCTCTAAATTTAAGTTTGTGCTTAAATTGAAGGCCTGGGAGATCAGGCACTTATTTTCAGCTGAGGATCCTGACAGAGCATCTGAATGGACAAAGAGGATGCCAAAACTGGTTGCTTTGAGTAGCTGCAAATGCACATCCAAGAGATGAAGACACACTGACCTATCACTTATAGACTGGCTAACAAATGGCACCCCCATCGGTTAAAGGCAAAAAAAAATCCAACAAGCCAAGCAGTTAAAGTTTTATTTGAAAGCACAGTTTAGTATCACCATCTACTGGTATGAGACTTAATTACAAAAGACTCTTAACATAATACCCCATCTGTTCCTACAGAGTTTGACAGTGCAGAAGGTTCTCTGAAATATAAAAAACACTGTGATTAAAAGATGTACAAAAAGTCTGACCTGGGTGTAACTGGCTACACCTGGGATTGTTGAATACACAGACTACATGTGCAAATGGTTGTCTTAGCGGTAAAACAATAAGACAGCAGCTTCACTCATCTCTTTGGAGACGGTCCAGCCTTGGTCCCCGCCCAGGCTGTCATAGTCAAATGAAGGAAAATCTCCACACTGATTGACATAGAAATACCCTCCTCCTCCTATGCAATACTGCAGACACAAAAAAACAGGATTGTTGCACTGTGCATCATTCTTGTGTTTACTCAATGATAGCAAAAGTCTGATAATGGATTGAGACTCACATGTTCATTATTGCAGCCGGTTGGCTTGACCCCAGAGCAGAGGGCCATGGCTCCACGTTCATTGTTTATTGCTCTGAATGTGATGAATCCTGGTACAAACTCCGCTTTAATACAAACAGAAAAAAACATGCAACTTTCATAAGCAGAATGGTTAATTAGGACATTCTCAGCTATTTAATAACTGAAAGATAACTCTTTTACTAAAATTATTATGCACAAAACTTGTGTAGCAAATATACAGTTTATGGTCCCACACATTGATCCAGATTGATATCCACATCCACCTATATTGGTGACAAAGTTCGTCTGTCCTCTTTCCTCCTTGCTACATGAGCTTCTTACCTCTTGATCTTGGTCCATAAAACTGGCTGGTGGACTCCTCGTCTCCAAAGTCATACACAATAGGAATAGCTGGCCCTCTGTCGCTGCACGAACCAACATTATATCTCACCGGAAATTGCTGGAAAAATACAACAANTGTCCCCTGCCTTCGCCCTAAGTCAGCTGGGATAGGCTCCAGCCCCCCCGCGACCCTAGTGAGGATTAAGCGGTGTATAGATAATGGATGGATGGGTTTCCGGTAAATTACCATGGGAAGTTAAGCTGGGGAATTTTGGAAATATTCAATATTGGAAACTTTACATGGGAATAATGGGAATTACGGGAATTTGTGGGAATTAATGGGAATTTAGGGGAACTAACTGGGAATTCAGGGTAATGTTATGAAATTGTATCATATCACAGCATCACATTTGAGGTAGGTACCATTTTTATAAGAGTGCCTCATAGATGTACTCTTATGCTAGCTATGGCTTATTTAGCATTTAACTTATCAGCTAGCTATATACTAGATGAATACATTTTTGCTAGCTATGGCTAGCTATGGCTTATTATATATGTATAACATTATATATAGAATATATATATATATAAGCCATATGCTAGCTATAGCTTGTCTAGCATTTAACTTATCAGCAAGCTATCTACTAGATGAATACATTTGTATGTGATATTTGCAATTTAGACATTTAACAAATATATTTCCCCATAATATCATCAAAACTAACTTAACTTTGTGTAGTCCACAGGCGCAAATGTGTGCCTTCAATAGTCTTGTGCTTTGGGCTCAGGTGTGGTCCAGTCTTCTAGAAATCATCTGTACATGTGATGGAGGCATGCACAGTGCCTGTAGGGGGTGTGGTCTCAGTAGACATGCAGCAAGCAGTGTGCTGTGTGTGCATGTGATTGAGGAATGACATGGATATTCAAGTCTACTTGGATGGCATCTGTTTGTTTTAGTCAAGATTATACTAAAATATATTTTCCCCAACTATATTTAAGTTCCCTATGAAGAACCAACCTTCAGTTTTGAAAATTCCTGTTAATTCCCATAAATTCCAGTTAGTTCCCATGAAAACTTTGAAAATTCCCGGAATTTTGCAACCATAGTTCTTACAGAGTTGGACACAGCAGAAGGTTCTCTCAAATATAAGAAAAACACTGTGATTAAAAGGTATACAAAAAGTCTGACTTGGGTGTAACTGGCTACACCTGGGATTGTTGAATACACAGACTACATGTGCAAATGG